TGAATATAGTAGTCGATTTACATTATTGTAGAGCGGTCTTAGTATTCATAATAATACAGTGATGCGTAGGGCCTTGTAGGACACTTGTAGAACCTACAGAATAACTGTTCTTACTATTTATCTAACCTTTCTAGTCAGATCAGAATTCATAAATTGTTGTTCATCGAAACCCAGTTTCTCTTCGTATCTAGAATTCATAAAGTTTGAATTTAATCTACGCCAAATTGCCGTCTGCAGTTTTGGTGAAATTTGAGGGACCGTTTTCCTGCGCCTGTATAAAATATCGGCTAAAAAACTTAGACATTTTAAAGTGAAATTTGGCGACTTGTATAGAAACTACAAATAAATTTGCATACTGATACCTGAACAACTGTGTGAATACGCTCCATTATATCAGGAACAAAGGCCTTGACGGACTCTGTCATTCGACTAGCTAGTCGATTAACAGCGGGTTCGTCAGGTTGATCCAAGCAAAATCTTTCTTTCAAAAAGTCAGTCACCTTCCCAGGATCACGAGCGATATCATTTATGCCAGCATCTGAAACCAGAGTGATAAGAGTCAAGAAGACACTGGCGTACCTATAGAAAGAAACAATAGAGGAGTTCGAATTTCAATTTGTGCGCCACTGAGTAGTCAGAAGAGGAAAAAAAATGTTTCTAAAATTAGTCTTGAATTAAGGAAAAGAGATGAAGACAAGCAGATCGAATGATTAAGTACTATAGATTGTAACCGATGAGGTAGCATCCTGGTTTTAAAAGAGTAAGTACTGGTTACCGCTTGACCTGATAAATTGTAATCCGGGACATTTTTTTGCTATTCAAGAAACGGTCAATCGTAGTTGCTGTTACTAAAAGGAAACGCAAGGGCTGCAACGGAAATTATTTTTAAACTAAGCGAAGGCCAAGGAGGAACAGTTTCTTTTTGCGATAAATAACAATTAAAATAGCTAGCAACACTTTTTTATTTGTAATATATTAAGACGCTAATAGTTTTCTAAGTATATTAATGTATAATAGTTTCTTATTGAACTGAGAGCGATTGTTGAAGAAAAGTATTAATTTAATTGCAAATCAACTACTT